TGATTGTGAGAATAAATACCATCATGTGGTGGATGCAATTACAATTTGATATTTAATTAGTCTGGCAATTTATGAAAATTCTAAATATTTCTAATGAATTAATAAGTGCCTATTTATAAATTGACTTGAAGTAGATATCTATATGAAAATTTCTGAAGGATTCTAGTTGCTTGAAGCATAAAAGTTAATTTGACGAGGGAAATTTATTCAGAACTATCAATATAGAGTTCTATATGATTAGTGCGCAGGTGTAATGATATCCGAATGAAATATTGCAGAAAATTTTGACGCAGCAATCAGCACCCGAGATTTATCAGATTTTGAATGAAATAAGAATCCTCATATATCTCAACTATAATTGCCTTTAATGTATTTATTTGCTGACGATGAATATTATAAGTTATTTTTATGCATATATTGCATTTATTATATTTTTTGTTTGAAGTCACAAGTTCCCGTACCTTTTTGATATTTTACTTATGATACTTTCATGCGAGTAAGGTAGAATTCTTAGATTAATGAATATTTGTTGTGAAAGAATTCTATATAATATTATTATATGTTCATGAATTTTTTTTTATTTTTTTATAAAAGGATTTTGAATATGAATTTATCAATATTTGGTTCATCAACATTATTGGAACTCATGAAGAGTTTCCAAAAGATTATAGTTTTCCTAAAGGAAGACTTTGAGATGAAAAACATTGAAAATATAGAGTTGTCTTGGCATGAAGATCGAATATTTCATAAATGAAGTTTTGTTTATGAATCCACATATATGACTTAGTTATTAAAATGATTTATGTGAATCCCAATGGCTTTGAAGTCACTTGATAATAAAATGATCATTTTTCAACTTTGAGAAAATTATGAAGAACTTATTGGTTTTGAAGTACCATATCTTAGTGTAACAAAGACGCTAATATATCTTGCTAGTCATATAATTAGATATAAGCATTTTTATAAATTTTATTTGCAAGTTATAGTTTTTCTTGAATATGAATAAATTGAATGGAGTTAAACTTATATTTTGAGATCTCCATGACAGTAAGGGTGGCCATATTACAGTTTCGGGAACCGGAACCGTCGGTTCGAACCGGTCCCGAACCGTAACTGAAACCGGTGGGAACCGAAACCGGAGATTTTCGGTTCGGTTCCGGTTCTAAATTTTTGGAACTGAAACCGGCGGTTCCAGAAAATCGGTCTGAACCGGATTGGAACCGCCGATTCTCCAGCTGATTAGAACCGCTGGATCGAACCGGTTCGAACTGGCGGTTCTAGCCGTTAGAAACTATCAGTTTTGTTTTGTTTTTTTTTTTAATTTTTCAAGAATTCAGTTGAAGAATTTTTTTTTAAAAAATAATTATGTTCAAGTCTTTAAAAAAATAAATTTAATTGAAGTATTTATGGTTCAAGGTCTTAAAAAAAATAATTTAATTGAAGTATTTTTTTTAATTTTTTAGGTTGTATTACTTTTTACAAATAACTTTCACAAAAATTTATTTAAATTTTGTGAAACGGTTTTCAAAGATTTAAGAGTTTAAATTATTGCGAATTCGCGGAAAGAACTGATCGAACGTCCGGTTTTGTTCACCGGCTACCGTTTGAAAACCGGTTTTCAAAATTTAAAATTTAAAATTATGCGAATTCGCCGGAAAACCGATCGGAACCGTCGGTTTTGTCACCGTACCGGAACTTTTCGGTTCGGTTCCGGTTCCATTTTTTTTGGAATCGGAACCGCCGGTTCCGGAACCGTGGCCACCCCTACATGACAGGATATATATAAGTTATATTATAACTAACTTGTCAAAATTAGATTTGATTGGCTATAAAAATGGAGGTTATTTATCTAATCCATATTATGTTAGATCTGAAACAAACCATTTATTTACATATGGAGGTACAATTATTTTATGACTTTTAAGAAACGAAGTATTTCTACCAATTTTTTTAGACATGAAGAAATTTTATCAACTCATGAATAAAGACAAGAATTTATTTGATGGAAATAAATATTTCAACATGTTCAAAATACGTGCAATGTACATGTCGATAAAGAAATTTCTACAATATTATATGGAGATATATTAAAAAAAATTATTATTTGAGGAATGATATATTAAAGAAAACAAGATCATATTTTACAAATAATTCCCCTTCGTTCGTGATCTACAAAAAGAATGATGATATTGGAGTTTAAACACGTAAGCGACAATATTATTGATTTGCTCATTAAAGCACTTTCTACTACAAGTTTTCTACTATAAACTTTCTACCACAAGTTTTTGAAAGACTGATGTACAAAATTAAAATGTATAAACTCAAATATCTCAAGATTTATCTTCACGAGGGGAGTAAATATGCACTGTACTCTTTTTCCCTTTAATGAAGTTTTTCCCATTGGATTTTCTTGGTAAAAGTTTTTAATGAGTCAGTATTTCAACTCGTATCTAAGAAAAGAATAATATACTTTTTTTCCTTCACAAAGATTTTTTTTCCCACACGATTTTTTCTTAGTAGATTTTAACAAGACATATTTTTTTAAGAATGCACATTCAAAGGGAGTGTTATGAAATAAGTGTATGTCTTTTTTTTTTTTTAAATCTGTATTTTTAATTATTGCGAACTGTATTTTCTTGATTTGTGTAAAACTTTATTAGGGTTAAATTTATGTAACTATATATACGTGACTTCTCATCAATAATAAATACACTCTCGTATTCTCTCCTTATTCTCTTTATTCTCCCTTTAGTTCCCTCTATTTTTCTATTATTTTATAACATTAATCGATATGTTATTTGTAATCATATAAGAAAGTCCACCATATATATTGTTCATATCAATATTTAATTAATGGTTACATGGCATTTTGTATATTATATTTGTTGAGAAAGAAACAAATTTGAGATGAATACAAAAAGAAAATAGAAAAGAATTATGAGTTAAAGGGAGTATTTATTAGATAATTGACATAAGATGAACCAAATTATTCAATTTGTAACTATTTAATTCATACAATTGGCAATAACTCGATAAATGTATTTTGTACCATTACTTCTGGTTGTCCAACGATTACATAAGAAAAGTTACAACCGGTTTAATGAGAACCAAACAACAAGTTTTTTCATAGCACCGTCGAACAAAAGTCGGCATATCTTCGTACGTAATTGGCGCCATTTGGCTCTAGCTTCTTCGTGTCGTCTGTGCATTGATAATATAAAATCAACCTCACATGTTAGTTGGTACTGAACAACAGGTCGTCTCGCCATTTGGGAATAATCGTTCGTTTTTTTCTTTAGTTACAATTACAAAAGGAGAGACGACAAGACCTCTAAACACAATCTAGAATAAACTGCTCCACATATGTCATGGAAAATCTATTCATTTAAATCTAGAAAAATAGTTGTTAAAATGTATTTTATTTTTCCATCTTCGCTTCTTCACTAAGCCAGGACCTTGCATGGAGATCATGACATCTTGGGCCTTATTAACCTTCATCGCAAGAGCCCTAATGTTATCAACTAGGAAGTCCATCAAGATATGATCTTGAACAGCTTACACCAAAAACAAGAATCAAACTGAAATATGAAAATGGAGAATCATGAGTATATAATCATAAGTATATCCGAAATTTAAGGAGTTAAAAGAATGGTCAAATTTATGTATTAGATAATTTATTATTATTCTTTTTAATACTGTTGTCGGCCCTCCAGACTAAATACTCTAGCTCCACTCCTGATTTTCTGTAATATGATGACCTGGAACAAAACTCGCTTGTTATGTTTGGTATGAGAACCAGTTACCAGTAGTTTAGAACTTGGTCCATTTACATTTCACCCATAACTTTTTGTTACATCTTGAACCATGCATGTTGCTCAAACTTCCACCTATTTCCATATACTAATGTTGATAAAAAAACACATTCAGGAAATTCATCTTCCAAACCCAAGAAAGAGGAAATCAGAAACGAAATTATGGTAATATCTTAACTCAATTTTCAACTTTTAGCTATTGTTTCTCCAGTTATTTAACAGATAAGTAATATTTTAGGGATTTTTTCTTTTATTTCAATGTCCAGATAATGAAATTGCATTGTATTTTGCTCGTTAGGTTTTTCATTTAGCTTTTTATTTACTAATAATTTGATTAATCAAAGGGGGTTTGATCCTGTAATTAAACTCAAACTACTAAATTGTAGTAATGAATCTGAGCTCATTAGTCTTATTTATCTTTTTTGTTTCTTGAACTTCTGGAATGCTGGTTGACCTAGTCATAGAAATGTTTGTTATCTCTTGTAATTAAGTGTATGACAGAGTCGAATAGTTCAATGGCAACCTTGCAAAGAAGACTGACACCAGAACTGGCAAAAACAGTCTCAAATCTTTGGCTTGTTATGAGTAATCAATTTTTATGGAATAAATAAATAAAACTGAATTCCAATTAATGAATTAAAAAAAAAAAATGAAATCTAGAATGAATTTTCATTTATACCAAACTCAAAAATTTGGATTTATAAAGAGTTTCATTAAAATTTTTACCAAATAAGCTGTAAGAGACAATTGAAAAGATATAATTTATTACTGCTACTTAATAGTTTGCATTTTTCTTTTTTTACTTTTGGAGGTTCAAAAAATATCAAAAACATAATCTCAAAAATGAATTTTGATTTCTTTAATTAGAACTTATGAGATCTGCATTGGTTTTTCTTTTTCTTTTAACAATAGCTACAACAATAATGCTAAAGAGATTGGTATGCTTATGAATTTTTCCCTTAACCAATTTTTATTGTTTTGTTCTAATTTGATGGGATTATTCTTAGCCGGCAAGCTATAAAATTTTAAGTCAATCAAAAGCTACAATCCAAAAATAATCATCTTCAAAATGGGTTTGCAAATGATGCTTAGTAAATGTCAGCATAACAAGATTGCATAGCTAAAGACAACAAGGGACTTTTCTTTACCTATTTATAACTTGATAGAGCAAAAGCTTCATAGCTTAAAATGGCATTGCCTTCATTCCAACTATGGCTTCTGTTGCTGCTGCTTGCCGCAAACAATGCGTTTGCAGTGCATCCAAGAAAATTAGCCAAATTTAGTACTAATGTAAAAAGATTTGCCGCAAGCGGGGACTCTTTTGGACTCCCGCCAGAATTTGAAATACATTATTACACACAAACACTCGATCATTTTAACTACAAACCAGAAAGCTATGATACGTTTCAACAACGATATATATTGAATTACAAGTACTGGGGTGGAGCAAATAATAGTTCACCCATATTTGTTTATACAGGCGAAGAGGATGATGTAACTTATGATGTTGATGCCATTACTGATCTTGCTGCTCGTTTCAAAGGTTTGCTGTTGTATATAGAGGTAGTGTCCCTTTCATTTTCATGCGTTTATTGCCTTAATTAGATGTGTTGCTCATTGTCATTTCTATAGCACACTGAAGGTCTAGCTGAGATGGTGGTTGTAGTTGCTGTTGAGTTGGTAATCTTCGTGATGTGGGATTAATGGTAATGTCATTTGTTGCAGCATCGCTACTATGGAGAATCAATGCCATTTGGATCAGAAGACCAGGCATTTCAAAATTCTAGTACTCTTGGATACTTCAGCTCAGAACAAGCTTTAGCAGATTATGCACAGGTGGTAACAGATGTTAAAAAGAACCTATCAGCAGAAAATTGCCCAGCTATTGCAGTTGGAGCATCTTATGGTGGAAGTAAGTTAATGTTATACCAACATTTTTTTTCACTGAAAATTCTTGATTCTGATCCATTTTTTCTTGTTCTTGATTCAACCTGACCTTTTCATGTTCTTGATCTTGTTATTTGTCAGTGCTTGCATCCTGGTTTCGACTTAAGTATCCACACATTGTAATTGGTGCTTTAGCATCATCCTCTCCTATACTCTACTTCGACGATATCACCCCACAGAATGGATACCATGTTGTCGTCACCAAAGATTTTAAAGTAAGAATTTAATCAAAATAACATTGAAACTTTAATGATTTGGAATATCTAATGATTCTAATTTGCATTGATAATTGATGCAGGAAACCAGTGAGAGTTGTTATAACACAATTATACAATCTTGGCCTGAGATTGACAGAGTTGCAGCTGAACCAAATGGGTTACTAACACTTAGCAATAAATTCAATACTTGCAGGTAAATCCATAAGAAACTACATATATAAAATAAATATTTTATGCTTTTTACTAAAATTAGGCTTTTGTTGTTTTATCTCAAAACTTGAAGGACTTTGAACTCGTCCAAAGAGCTCAAAGACCGATTAGCAATCTCATATATATCCGCAGCCCAGTACGACAATCCTCCGTATTATCCAGTCCAGAATATTTGTCATGCCATTGACGGAGCACCAGAAGGAACAGATATTCTTGGCAGAGTTGCAGCAGGTCTCCATAGATATCCTGGTCAAGGATGTGTTAATATATTTTCATTTGAGCTAAGCAACAAGAGTGGTTGGGATTGGCAGGTATATATCTATGTAATATTTTAAGCCTTAAAATTCACTTCTCTAATATATACTTTCAATTAAGTCGTTTATATTCATTTTTCTGATAAAGTTTAATCATGCTAATTCCAGAAATAAATATATTCTTCCAAAATTTTCTTTTCTAGTCACCTAGGTTTGACTGTTTGATTTTGAAAATTGTATGATTTAAACTTCAAAATTTGATTCACTGTCTCATATCAGCATTCTGATAAACTTACCATTGAAATTAGCTTGACTAAACTTTATTGGAATAGAAATTAAATGTTAACAGATCATTTTTTTTTTGTTAGAGCAACGGAGTAGCTCATAATTTAGTGATAATTTCAATATTTTGCTTCTAATATATTTTATCTTCTCCGTGTTTCAAGAAGTAGTAGTTATATATATATTTTTTAATGCTTCTTTCAGACATGTACTGAAATTGTAATGCCCATTGGATATGGAGACAATGAGACTATGTTCCAAGCAGAACCTTTTGATTTAAAGAACTACACCAGAGACTGTGTAAATTGTTTTGGTGTTGTACCTAGGCCTCACTGGGTGACAACAGAATTTGGCGGCCATGTAAGCTTTTCTTTTATATTATTCCTTTTCCTTTCTCCTTTCTTTCGATTCCAAAAAAATCATAACATTAAAAAAAAAAAAAATCTTCCTCAGGACATAAAAACTGTACTAGGGAATTTCGCCAGCAACATCATTTTCTCGAATGGACTACGCGATCCATGGAGCTCTGGAGGGTAATTAAAGAACCAAGAATTTTGTTTTTCTCCTTTATTATACATATTATTATTCATAGTTAGCATCAAACTCATAAGCTCCATTTATTCTTTAACCTTTTCTTTTTGAAAAAAATTCAACAACAGAGTTCTTGAAGACATATCAGATAGTGTTGTTGCAATACATACAGAATATGGTAACTTCTGTTCCTAATTATTTGATTTTGATAATTATTTACAGAAGATTTGATATTAATTGAGATTTGTTATGGTAATTAACTAGGAGCACACTGTGCGGACCTATTTCCATCTAGTCCAGATGATCCTGTCTGGTTGGTGGAACAACGCGAAAAAGAAGTCAAAATTATTGCAGTTTGGATAGCAGAGTATTATGCCAAGCTTTCTACCAAAGAGAGAAGTGTTTAAAACAATCTCCATTTTATGTTTTATAGACTTCAGAGAGAGACATGAAAGTTTGGTTTTTGCTTATTCCTTAATATTCACTAAAGACTTGAGCTTTATATATGCCTTGTTAGAACCAACTGTAACAAAAACATAATAAACATATGTTTTGTTATGGGCTAGTTACAAATACATAAATAAATAATCATGAGGTTTGTCTTAACTTTTACTATTCGAAAATTAGCAATTTTATTCCCTGAGATCTATTAATGACTCACAGTAATACTTCAATGTTAAATGTTTAATGAGATGATTTCATTTTAATGTTTAATAATGCTGACTTATCACTTATAAAGTTGGAATGAAATAGTGATGGTAGCAAACCACAACTATGTGAATTCATTAATCATTTCTATTTTTGTTTTAGTTGCTTTAAGGGGAGAGGTTTGAATTAATTTCTTAGCTTTAATGAAGTCTCCATCATACAGTATGGAAGTGGAATTGTATGGGAAGATGTAATATTTGGTTTATTTAATTTTCTAACTAAACAGAAAACATCAAACGGGTCCTTAGCTCAGTGGTAGAGCAATCGACTGCAGATCGATAGGTCACCGGTTCGAACCCGGTAGGGCCCTTTTTTGGCTTTGTTTTCTAATTTCCTATGCTACTTCCTCTTTCTTTGCTTTTTGTCCTTATTTTTTATCAATTTTCAAAACTTTCCTTTTCCTTATTTTCCCCTTCTTTCTTTTTCTCAAAGCTTTTTTAGGTCATCAATAAAATGTTTTATTCCTGCATATATTTATAAATAATTTACTTCTATATGCATATATATTTTCTTCCACCATTGATATTTTTCCTTTCCCTTTTTTCTTCTCCCTTTCTTTCTTGTTTTTTTTTTTTTTTCTACCCTGTTTACAAAGTGTGAGAGTATATATAATGTAATTTAATATTTCTTTGGAATTTTATTTTCATATTATGAATTTCTTGTATGTACAACATACTTGTTGAATTTTATTTTCATTTTCAAAGTTTTTTTCAACCCAAACCAAGAATTCATTCTTGTATGTCACGACATTATTTAATAAAAAAAATATTTTATTATATGAAAAAAAATTTATTATAATGAAAAGAAAAAAAAGATAATATGTCCATCACCGCTATAGCGTACATGCTTTAATAATTATATATTTATCTAGATAGATGTTTTTATATCTTTAAAGAGAAAATCTCAACTCAAAAGTGAAATTTTCTAAATTTTATTATTTAAATAAAAATGCAATTAAGCCATTTAATTTTATTAATTTCAAAAATATCATTGGAATCCATGTATTATACTTTTTCAACTAAAAGATGGAATAGGAAATATTATTTGATTTTGCAATTCATAGATTTCATATACTATTTTATAAAATTTATGGATTTCACATTCTATCGATCCAAATCACCTCTAATTCGGTTATTGGTTCCCTCTTTCTCAGTTCCATTGAAAGTTCTTTTAAGTATCGGTGCAACTATAATATCTCAAGTCAACTTAATTGTATTAAACAAAAATAAAATGACAAATAGATTTTAAAAACAAAAATTATTATAACCTATTTGAAAATTCTATGCATGCTTTTCAAAGATAGTATCTAAAAAGGAATAAAAATAATTTTCACACAATTGGAGTGAAAACCAAATCCTCTAAACTATGAAAAATTTTATTGACCACGATGGGTCATTTAAAAATTTTATTGCATACAATAGAATGATAATTTTTATTTAATTATGAAAAAAAAATCATTTAAAAACATTTTTTTAATTAAATTTAATGATTATATATCATAGTTTTATTTTGATTAAAATTTAAATGTAAAAATTTCATAATTTTGAAAATGATTTTAATATTATTAAATAAGCAACTAGTTCATATATATTAGACCATTCATGTACGGATAATTTAGGAAGTTTGTCTAGCCAGCTATTTCAATTTTCATTAGGATTTCTTATTAGATCAACGAACAATAATTGTTTTAGTTATAATAGTTTTATTCTATATTTGATTTTTAGAAGAGGATTATGTCCTCCGGCATTATTTGTATTGATTTAAATTTTTTTTTAATGAAATCCTAATATTATAAAAAAAAATAAAAAGCTAATTGACTATACATCACAATGTAATAGTGAAACATTTTGGCTTGGTGTAGATTTGAATGAGGTCAACATCACATAAGCTTAATTGAGCTTGGAATGTCCTCACTATATAGTGATTAGACCTTGGTTTTGGAAAATAGCTCTTAGAACTTTTCATTTTCGGACCCAAAGAGGAATCTTGGACCAGCTTGTTGCAATAATGGAATAGTCAACACGAATCTTTAAATTCTCTAATTTATTTGTTAAATAATCTTTAATGTAGCCCAGATATATTGTTCATAGAATTTGTTTGACAAGAATATACAATAATCAGAAGCGTACCTTGATCCATAACGGTAGATCATATAAGTATGGGTTACCTCGTTGGGATAATTCGTTGTCCCACCGTAACAGCAGATCTACGTTTCTTCATTTCTGGCCTTTGTCGTAGTTGCTCTCTAATTTGGTCAGAGAATAATCAAAGCTGGGGAGTTTCTTTTATTGAACTCTCTCAAACAACTATCTCCGTATGTGTTTGAGGAGCGTCAACTCTTCTTGTTTTTGTGTTAAACCTAATCTGTTATTTCTTATCTTTTTTATAAGGTAGAGGAAGGGTATTAAACCAAAACTAGCTATTATCCTTAGTCCAATACGCATCATCTTAGGCGCACCTTAATTTAGAAGTTCCTTTAATCACATGGGCACGTATAGATTAAATTATACAATCTTCTCACTTGGCCCATGTGCATTTCTTGAAATCTATCATGTTTACCTTATTTAGAAAATTAAAGTTTGATCAGATTATGGCGCGTCACAGTCTTAATCGACATGATTTTTTCCTTCACTATATACAGACCACTTTTCAATTATTAAAAACTTTAATGGGAGGGAACTATTTCGAACAAAACAATTACATTGTTTAAATCAAATGTTTCGAACCCGGTAGGGCCCTTTTTTGGCTTTGTTTTCTAATTTCCTATGCTACTTCCTCTTTCTTTGCTTTTTGTCCTTATTTTTTATCAATTTTCAAAACTTTCCTTTTCCTTATTTTCCCCTTCTTTCTTTTTCTCAAAGCTTTTTTAGGTCATCAATAAAATGTTTTATTCCTGCATATATTTATAAATAATTTACTTCTATATGCATATATATTTTCTTCCACCATTGATATTTTTCCTTTCCCTTTTTTCTTCTCCCTTTCTTTCTTGTTTTTTTTTTTTTTTCAAAGCTTTTTTTCTACCCTGTTTACAAAGTGTGAGAGTATATATAATGTAATTTAATATTTCTTTGGAATTTTATTTTCATATTATGAATTTCTTGTATGTACAACATACTTGTTGAATTTTATTTTCATTTTCAAAGTTTTTTTCAACCCAAACCAAGAATTCATTCTTGTATGTCACGACATTATTTAATAAAAAAAATATTTTATTATATGAAAAAAAATTTATTATAATGAAAAGAAAAAAAAGATAATATGTCCATCACCGCTATAGCGTACATGCTTTAATAATTATATATTTATCTAGATAGATGTTTTTATATCTTTAAAGAGAAAATCTCAACTCAAAAGTGAAATTTTCTAAATTTTATTATTTAAATAAAAATGCAATTAAGCCATTTAATTTTATTAATTTCAAAAATATCATTGGAATCCATGTATTATACTTTTTCAACTAAAAGATGGAATAGGAAATATTATTTGATTTTGCAATTCATAGATTTCATATACTATTTTATAAAATTTATGGATTTCACATTCTATCGATCCAAATCACCTCTAATTCGGTTATTGGTTCCCTCTTTCTCAGTTCCATTGAAAGTTCTTTTAAGTATCGGTGCAACTATAATATCTCAAGTCAACTTAATTGTATTAAACAAAAATAAAATGACAAATAGATTTTAAAAACAAAAATTATTATAACCTATTTGAAAATTCTATGCATGCTTTTCAAAGATAGTATCTAAAAAGGAATAAAAATAATTTTCACACAATTGGAGTGAAAACCAAATCCTCTAAACTATGAAAAATTTTATTGACCACGATGGGTCATTTAAAAATTTTATTGCATACAATAGAATGATAATTTTTATTTAATTATGAAAAAAAAATCATTTAAAAACATTTTTTTAATTAAATTTAATGATTATATATCATAGTTTTATTTTGATTAAAATTTAAATGTAAAAATTTCATAATTTTGAAAATGATTTTAATATTATTAAATAAGCAACTAGTTCATATATATTAGACCATTCATGTACGGATAATTTAGGAAGTTTGTCTAGCCAGCTATTTCAATTTTCATTAGGATTTCTTATTAGATCAACGAACAATAATTGTTTTAGTTATAATAGTTTTATTCTATATTTGATTTTTAGAAGAGGATTATGTCCTCCGGCATTATTTGTATTGATTTAAATTTTTTTTTAATGAAATCCTAATATTATAAAAAAAAATAAAAAGCTAATTGACTATACATCACAATGTAATAGTGAAACATTTTGGCTTGGTGTAGATTTGAATGAGGTCAACATCACATAAGCTTAATTGAGCTTGGAATGTCCTCACTATATAGTGATTAGACCTTGGTTTTGGAAAATAGCTCTTAGAACTTTTCATTTTCGGACCCAAAGAGGAATCTTGGACCAGCTTGTTGCAATAATGGAATAGTCAACACGAATCTTTAAATTCTCTAATTTATTTGTTAAATAATCTTTAATGTAGCCCAGATATATTGTTCATAGAATTTGTTTGACAAGAATATACAATAATCAGAAGCGTACCTTGATCCATAACGGTAGATCCAAATAGATCAGAAACGTACCTTGATCATAACGGTAGATCTATGTTATGGTTACCTCGTTGGGAAATAAATTTCGATTGTTCACCGTAACAGCAGATCTACGTTTCTTTCATTCTGCCTTTGTCGCGTTAAGTGCTCTCTTAATGGTCAGAGAATAATCAACAGCTGCGGGAGTTTTCTTTTTAAATGAACTCTCTCAAACAAACTATCTCCGTATGTGTTTTGAGGGAGCGTCACACTCTCTTGTTT